TCTATTCAATTTCTCTCTCTTCTATTCAATTTCTCTCTCTCTCTTCTATTCACTCTCTCTCTCTCCTATTCACTCTTTTTTATTGTTTTACCAGACATGCCTATATATTTTTTTTATTAAAAAACAAAAATCTTGAAAATATCACGTAGTCAAATTTCCCCTTTTTTTTTTTTAAACTAAAGGTCAGAATTCGTTTTTTCTACCTTGTCTTGTTGAAAAGGGAAACCGATATGCTTTTTCTTCTGTATACATATTATATAAATAAATAAAATACATCTTATGATATGTTGCGTTCAATATGCGGAAAACCCGGTTAAATTATAAAATTCGGGTATAAATCCACAAGTCTTGCGGTAGGCTCGAAAAATTCGATGATCTGGCAGCGCAGCTATCTATATAGTAAAAACTGGGTGTCAATTATTCAGAGGTGTTGTGGAATCCAAGACAGATGTGCGTAGTTGTCAGAATTAGAAACCAATTCTGATTCTCAATGGTGTCACAGAATCTGATTGGATTTTTGTCTTTTCAAACATACGCAAAGCCGATATTCGAATCAGCTGTTTAAATAAATTTGGAAGCGTTTGATAAATTTAAAATACTGAATAAAGTACATTAAAATTTACAGTGACTTCCGCTATTTTAGCTTTTACTTTATTAAAAAAAATAAATTAATATGAAGATATTAAGAGATCACAGTAATCCAGTTGATGCACCAAAGGAATCGCATGTGAAATTTGGGTTGCATTTATTTATATGCTTATATATAATACATACTTACTTTACAGATTTATCAGGCGTGTTTCGAACAACAGCAAATCGTTTTGTCGCCCTGTTCTGGAAATCGGATTCGTAACAATTTTATCTTTTCGAATTCAGCAAGTTAAACGATAGCGATTTAAATCAACGGTTTTTTCAAGTAACATTTATTTCTTTGTAAGTATATAATAAAATAAATTTAAAGTAAACGAAATGTATATGTGAATGTTATTCTTTAAACTTTTAACTCAAGACAAGAAATAATCCATATTGAATTTATGGAAACGTATTCCGATTTAGCATGCAATTTTTCTAAACGAGATAGAGTGGCAGTAGAAGAAACATGGAAGGAGCTAGCCACGTTGCTGAATGCAGAAGGACCACACCAGAAAAACTGATGAAACTATAAAAAATGTAAGTGGTATTTAATCGATTATTAAAATAAATGAATTTTAAACTGTATTTCTTCTTTTATTATTAAGATATGGTTTGACTGGATTCGCAAAAAGGTTGCGCGTAACAATTTAGAAGCAAGAGCGATTGGCGGTGGACCCTTCAACAAGCATATATTAACGAATAGCGAAGAATGTGTTGCAAGGATCTGTGGAATTTTCGCGACCGTTGAGGGCATTTCAAATTCTCGAAGTTTTGGGGCAGTAACAAGTTTCTGTATTAGCGAATCAGAGGAAGAACCTCTACAAACAAGCAGGGAAACCGTGGTTACCCTACGAGCCGCAAAACGACTACGAGTTTCCGAAAATCGGGACTCCCTCCTAACGTACATGACACACAATCAAATGGTATGGGAAAAATTTCCATAACCTTTACTGATTTAGTGAGTGCCAGCAACAATTGATGCAATATTAAGAAGAAGCGAATAATATTCAACGGCTTTGCCGGACAGTTGAAAAACAAAATAATTTATTAGCAGAACAAAATCGCCTAAAATCTCAAAGTTTAGAGGAACAGTAAAGGCATCACCTTAGAAAACACGAAAAAGTTAAAATAAAAATGAAAATGCTAGAGAATGAATTAACATAATAAATACGCACCATTTAACTACACATACAATTTATTTGTATTTTATTTAAATTTTTGCGTTTTATATTATAATAGCAAATTTCTTGCATAGTCCTAAATTTTGACCAATATTATTTGAACTATTACTTTCCTCATTTTCAGCTATTTCCTCGTCAATTGAATCGATTTCTAACCCAATTTCTGGTTCAATATCGTCTATTTTATAACGTGTTCATTTTCGATTCGACCTTGATGATATCGTTCATTGCTTTGTCAAACTGTCACAAAGAAATCAGCTGTTTCGAACTGAAATTCTAAATCAAATGAAGTCGAACGAATTGTAGAACACAGTTGTTCGAGAACATGCCTGTTTATCTTATTAACGATTGAATAAAGACACATTTGGGTGTTAAATTCCGTTTATTACGTTTTTTAAATCCTCTTTTTTTCAATAAACTCAATACTTACGAAATTTTGTGTTTTATTCTTATATTTTGCCCTATAAAAATAAAGATAAATTAAATCGTAATAATAATATAAATTAATTTCTTAACTTACATTTCATATATATCAGCGATTATCCTCTTGCTCCGTTTCTGATAACAAAACCGATAAAATTTCTGTTTTGAACGTCAAACCAATAAAAGCTGAATTAATTACACCTGCTACCCTACAACCCGGCAGTAACCAATTCACTACTACACTTGTAAAGTTTCAGGTCTTACACTACTGCCACATCTAACTTTTCGTTGTTAAATGAATAAATATAGATAGTTTCGAAAAACTGAAAAACACGCTTTTGAAGCACTTCAAGAAAAAAAGATTCAGATTAAATAATTCCTTATTCCTAAGAAATATTGACTGAAAAATACTTGAATTATTATGAGAAAAGCCTTATAAAATAATTCCTTATTTAAACTGCAAGAAGTATTGACTGAAAAATACTTGAATTATTATGAGAAAAGTATGGTATGCTCGACATACGAAAAATAAGGCACAAACCCTCCCACGCTTATCTCACAATAATATGCTTTTAATTTTTAGTTTTTTAGTATATTAAACTATACTAATTATTTAGCCGTACGTGGTTTTATCACTTTATTTAAGGATGCGTTGAAGTAAATTTGTTATTCAAATTTTAGCCACATAGTTTTGTAGTCATTGTACGATTTCGCTTATTTTCGCAGTAAGTGATAGGAATGACTAGGTAACACTACATACCAAATTAGGTTGAAACTAGCTCGATAGGTCCTGAGATATAGGATTTCACCTAAAGTTTGGTGACGCCACGACCATTTCCAATTTTTACAACTCCTCCTATAAAGCTCTTTCCTAATACTATGTTCGCACCGACACAAAATTCGCGTTTTCATAGACAAAAGAGGTTTTCACGCGAAAACTTGTGTTTTCATCCATACAAAATCTGTCAAACGAAAACACAGTTTTCGCTGAAAACCCCTTGAAAACTTACATTCCACTCATTATAATCGGTGCCTGCTCTAGTTTAATCGATATTATTAGAAGACAGATTCTGCCAGCCCTAAATGTCAGTTGACAATTTGTTTACATTCTATAATTGGCCTAAACGTACCCTACAAGAAACTGCTGATGGGTTCACCAATACACTCACATTTGATATGTCAGTACTGTTAATTTACATTTGCATATTGATATTCAGAACTATCCACTGATTGGAGAAAGATGTACGCAGAGCTATTGAGAGGAGGAGATGGCATCAAGTGAAAATTTATATATATATTTTCATATTTTATTTTATTTTTTGTTGCATTCCATTTTATATTTAAGTATATCATTATAACTAATTGTGATTAAAAGTTTGAAATTTATTAAAGAAATAAAAATTATATTATCTACTGCGCAAAAGAATTTTTCACTTCTGATAGCGTTTCAGTCATAACTGACAATTTTCAGCAAAAAGAAAACAAGGCTCTTAAGAAAATGATAGAAACTTGGTTCTGCGCACTGACAACATTTTTTCAGCTATGACTGTCATATTACCCATCAGATGACGTCACTGTTCTTGTAGGGTACATAACACATGTAAACAAATAGATGTGTGAACTGTCAATGAAAACTCATCGAAAACACACAATGTCGGTCAGAACGAGTTTGGTTCCACAATCCACAAATTGTGTTTTCAAGTGGATTTCAATTCGGTGCGAACATAGTATAACATCTTGTTTGTGAAATTCACTGTTATTGCGCATTTAGTTAGTGAGTTATCGCACTGTTAATAGTTTTTAACATAACCGGTATATAGGAAGTGGGCGGGGTTATTATCTGATTTTACCCATTTTCACAGCGTATGAAAAAGGCTTCCTCTCAGCAAATTTGGTTGAGTTAGCTTCAGTGGTTTGGAAGATATGCACATTAAACCATTAATGGGACGAGACTATTTAAAAAAAAAAATTCAGCGAATAGGTGTCCTTTATTACCGTGATCCCATGTACCAAAATACAGTTCGGTATCTTAATTTAGTGCTTAGTTATGGCCTTTTATAGGTTTTCTTTTAATGGCGTTTTGTGGGTGTAGCAGTAGTCTGATTACGTTCTGTGAGAACTAAATGTCCAGAGGGAATTTAGCCCACACAACATATGAAGACGCACCCTGTTAAATAAAATCAACGCAACGAGTATTGGGCTGCAACGGGAAAATCACGCCACTTTTAGCAACACACGCCATCCTAAAGCAACATGTTGCGACACAACAGTTACATCACGCCACTTCTAGCAACACACGCCATCCTAAGGCAACATGTTGCCACACAACAGTTAAATCACGCCACGCAAGCGACACAGCGAGTATTGGTCTGCAACGGGAAAATCACGCCACTTCTAGCAACACACGCCATCCTAAGCATCATGTTGCGAACGGGCGAGCAAGCAACACACGGCTTGGTGGAAAGCAAGCAGGCCGATCAGCAGTCATTCAGGATCGGACTGCGAAGGCGAGCACAACGTTGGCCGGATGATCGACTCAGGACCGTGAAGACGAGCACAACGATTGGCGGGCTTGAAGGATAGGGCTGCGAAGGCGAGCACAACGGAGCTGAAACACGGAAGGTAAGTCACCCCGGGCCACGCTGGCAGGGTAGTATACGCGATAGTATACCAATTATCAGGGAGCGCGGAAAGGTAGTGACGTTTCGTGCGGTAAGAATGAATGTCTCGCAGTGAGTCGATCCTCTGCAGGCATTTCACTCCTTACGTGGGAAGGCCCGAAGTCACGCGTGAAGTGGGAGTGAGTCGATCCTCTGACCTGCTCCACGTTTGGCATCGCGGCCGCTGTCACTGCCTCCGTAATTCCGCGTGATAGTGACGCGCTAACGAGTTTCGAGAACCACTACCCTGTCAGAACGCCAGCAACGGGTGACGCCTTAACGCAGTTCGAAAGCGTGAAGAAACTGTCGGAACGCAGCAACGGGCGGCGCTGCAAACGCAGTTCAGAGAGTGTGAGGAACTGTCGGAACGCCAGCAACGCGGGCGCTTCTGAAACGCAGTTCCAGAGAAG